AACAATGAATGAATGGAAACCCAAAATCTCTGTAAATGTTTATGAAAATTAATAAAATATAATTATAGAAAAAAAAGAATGTTAATGGGTAAACTCTTCTCATACAGTGCCTGGATGGAGAATGGACTGAATGTAGTAATAGTGAGAATTGCTCTCTAACCAAACACTGTATTCTTCCTTACTTTGGCCTGGAGAGACTCTCCTGTCTACTTTCCAAACCTTTCTTATGTACAAGCATATCAGTAAATGATATCATAACACATATATAATAAATCACTCTCTTGAAAGTATGTCTTAGTGATTTTGTGCTGCCATAACAGAAATATGGCAAATTGATGGTTTAATAAACAGCAATTAATTGTCTCATGAGTCTGAATTCGGGGTACTGCTTGTAGAGGAAATTTTTCTTTCTCTGCCCTCTAGAAAGAGAGGCTCTTTGTCCCTTGGTGATCTTCATCTTCATGTGACTTCGCATCTATCTTCTTAACCCTCTCTTGGCTTGATTGTTGGTTTAAACTCTTATAGTTCAAAAATCTCATTTAAATTAGAACTGACTTGCTGGAATTGGTAACAGATTTTTTTTTTTCTCTTTTTTTCTTTTAACGTGCATAGGAAAGTTGAGTGGTAGTTGTAGGTATAATGCTGACCTGAACTGTCAAAAATCTCTCTAGGATGCTTTGGCATGCAGTAGGATATCCAATGGCCACAATCAGCCATAGACCTTGGGAACATGCTGTTCCTCTTTTCAAAATTAATTTTAATGAAAGTTTACAGAGACTTTGGATTTCCACTTTTACATTGTTGCAATTTTGTCCCTGTCCACTGCCTCCTCCCCCAGTTCACTCTTCGAAAAGAAAAAAAATTTTTCATTGTTATACAATCCCTCCCCCCAAGTCCACTCCAATATGCAGACTTCATTCTGCAATCTGTCATGACAATAATACCTAATCATATATCCTTTTTAAACAGTTCTCTCCCACTTCTGTTTCAATTCAGTATACATAACTTATTCCATCTTTCTCAGTCTTCCCCCAACCCTGATGTCAGTCCTGTTTTACAACAGTGGCCCTATGCAATATTTGTCCTTTTGTGACTGAGATATTTCACTCAGCATAATGTCCTCCAGGGTCATCCATTTTGAATAATGTTTCATGCATTTCAATGCACGATGCTACCAGGACTTCAAAAACCCCAAAACCACATTGCCTTTAAGTAAATTCTGATTTATAATGACCATACAGTACAGAGTAGAACTGCCTCATAAGTTTTCAAGTCTGCAGGAGTGGGATCCACTTCCTAAATAACATGCCTCTGGAAACTCTACAAACTTAGAGAAACAGTGATAGTTATAGAACAAGGTTCAGGGTTTTTGTTCATAGGCTTGCTATGATTCGTGCTTGACTTGATGGCAATCAACAACAACAACAACAATCTTTATAGAAGGGAGCTCTGGTTATATTCAGTATAGAGATGGGTTTCAGGATTGTTTAAAAACAAATTTACAACTCTGCCCTCTGTTTTTCCTTAAAATGGACAAATTAATTTTTATCCAATTTATTGTCATTTTACTATACAATTTTGGGCTTAGTATTGACATTTTGTGTGTTTATTTACTAGCACTAATTTACATCAATCTTGTAGGCCTAGTGGCAAGAAGCTAAGCTGCATTCTCAAGGGCACATGGTTCAGTCTACCAGCTTCTCCACAGGAGAAGAATGGGAAATTTCATCCCATGTGATTTATTATTTCAGGAAACCCACTGAAGAGTCAGCTATGAATCAGTTCTGACTGAGTGGCAAACAACAACAACAATAACAACATCATTATTTATGGAACCAGACTGTCATATATTTCTTCTGGAGAGTTGATGGTAGGTTTAAACCACCATATAGCTCGCAGACAAGCACTTCAACCACTATGCCACTGGAGCTCTGTGGGAGAAGTCAGGGCTAGAGAGTGATGGATCGAAATGAATATTAAGTACATTGTTGGCTTTAGGTGGAATTAAGTTTTTCAAATACATTTAAAACACTATCTGCAAAGAAGAAATATCATGATTCCATTTTAGTTAGGCCAAGCGGCTGAGGCTCCAGTTTTCTGATAATTACGAAGAGCACCAGGGGATTGCTCGAGTGCTAACTAATATTGTATGTTCTCAAAGGGTTTTTTCAGTGTCGGATATTTGCTATATTCAAAGAATAAATGGTAACTGAAATCAGTGTTTGGTCCAATACAGCTGTCCCAGGGTTATGTTTCAGTGTTTGTGTCCGTTACTTTTGTAATACACTTTGTAAGAGCTTAATATAAATTCTTGGAACTCAGATAATACTCCTGTGTCTATTAAAAGAAAATAGAACTTTGGAATTTACAATGAGGTTGCTTAGCAATAATAAAACAGAACAAAGCAAGTCACTTTAACACAAAGCCAATTCTTTCTTGTACAAGACAGATTGTCACAATTTAAGGGGGACTAAAAACTTTGATTAAATAAAACACAACTAGAAAATAAGTTATTGATAATGCTGCAGAATACTTGTTTTTAATTTATAAGAGCAAAATTGTATTTGCAATAATTTAATGAAATCAATAATAAGAGATAGTAAATATAGTTCTGTATTAATTTATTGTTGGAACACCCGGGAAACAACCCATCCTATGTTTTTCATGTGATTTATGAAATTTTTAAAATAAAGGAGTTATTTTTCACATATGAAAATGAATACATTTATTCCACACGGGGGGGGGGAAGAGACTGCGGGACAAGTGAGCAGCCTATATAACACACTGCAATGACACTGAATGTCAGAGGTGGTAACCCTTTTTATGGAAAGGGCAGACAGTAAAAATTTTTTATTTTGGTGCCAAGCAACTACTCAGATCTAATGTTGTAGTGGAAAAATCAGCTACAGATGACATGTAAACAAATGTGTGTGATTGTGATCCAGGAAAATTTTATTTACAAAACAGTTGGCAAGCCTTAATTTAACAACTCTTGATGCTACTTATCATTAAACCAAAATCCAAAGCCACTGTCTTTGAGTCCATTCCAACTCAAGGTGAGTCTACAGGACAGAGCAGAACTGCCCATTGAGTGTCCAAGGTCGTAAATCTTTACAGAAGCATGCAGCCACTTCTCATTCCTATGGAGCATCTAGTGTGTTTGAACCATTAGCCTCTCAGTTAGCAGCTAAGTACTTAAAACAGTGCAGCACAAGTGATCTTCTATATAATAGAGACTATTTGATGATTAATAAATAGAGAAAATGAAATACTAGAAATAATTCCCACATACATCTGCTCACTATAGATTTCAACTCTTCTCACCACTATTTGTTGTTGTTGTGTACCACTGAGTTGGAATCGATCCATAGCTGATCCTCTGGTGAGTTTTCAAAGTCAGTCAACAAATTACACAGGAGAGATTGCCCGTCTTTCTCCCATGGAACAGCTGGTGGATTCGAACCATGTGTCTTTGTGACTGCAGTGCAGCTTCTTGCCATGAGCCACCAGAGCTCTCTCTTTTCACCACTAAAAAGAGAAACTTTAAAAGAATATCTTCTTCTTCTTTTTTTTAAGTGTCTTTTTTTTTAATTGAAAAGCTAACAAACTGCCTAGGTTACATTTCTCCCTGAAAACACACACAAATTGGGTTGTCACTAAGTCTCTAGCCAAAATGCTAAGAAGACTGATATCACAAGTGCTAGGATTAAATTAAAGGAGACCTGCGACATATAGACTAACCCTTACTGGTAATATTCCTTGATTCTTTGGAGCTAGAAGACAATCCCAATAAAGCCGACTAGGATCATGATCTCAATACAGCTTCTAACTCATGAATAAAGGTAACACCTTGCTAATTCTCTTTCAGAAACTTTTGTTGTTTTATTTACAATGCTAACTTCTCAAAGATTGCTAACTAAACTAGGCAGAAATCCAAAATGCCACTTTCTATGGAGAAAAGAAAAGAAGGAACAAGTTTGATCACACTAGAACAAACTCAACTATAGGTTTTGAAATCTGTACTCAAACTACACATGCAATAAGCACAATATTCTAATACAATTGATTTGCTGCTGCATTTGTCTATTGTTTGTCTAATATTAACAATTATAAACAGAGCAGTCCTTACAGTGTTACAGTGTCAGGCACTTCTCTTCACACCACCACTGGTTCTCTTTGCATACCTGGGCTTCTTCCTCTTCGGTGAAGTCATTTTTAATATTGAAAGTCTTGCGAATCTCCTCAGGAGTTTCCCCCTTGATCATATTGGCAACAGTCTTGCATGTAACATCAAGCAAAGCTTTGATATCTAAGTAGTTTGCAGCCAGAATAAATTCAAAAAGTGTTCCCTGGTCAACTTTCAAGAATTCTTGGTCCCAAACGAGGATGTCATCTGTTCTCTTTTCTTTGCTCTCATCATTCTCAGGAGGAGGTGGGTCATCTTTGTGGTGAGTGCACCACTGAATGACCTTTTTTAATATTGCTGCATTAACATTTGGAAGAGGAACTGGGTCATCATCTCCTTCATCATCCATTCTCAAATCTTCCAACATGGTCTTGATAGTCACAGATTGTTTGGCAATTTCCACATCAACTTCAAATATCTCTCCGTCAGAACTCTGCAACTTAATTGAAGGCATGGTGTTCGCCTCAAGAAGACCGCAGACCAGGGGCTGGTGAGAGCTGGGCAGCCAAGAGAAGAGGATAATAGGGGAAAGCGGAGAACAAGGCTCAAGAATATCTCCTTTTAAAAGAATAATTTCTAGGGAGCTCTGGTGGCCTAGTGGCAAAAAGCTGCACTGCAATCCCAGAGGTGCATGGTTCAAATCCACCAGACGCTCTGCCAGAGAAGGAGGGGCAAACTCCTGCTGTACCAGTCAGATCCGATTTGACGGGACATGTACACAAAATAATAAAATCATAAAAAGAACTGATAATAATTTTTTTTAAAAAGAGTATTTTCTCAGCATACCTCTAAGAGACTCATTCCTTATGTTGCATACAGTGCCTGGCCATGTGCACCGAGTTGAATTAATGCATTTAAACATTTTACCCTTCCAAGAAGTTTTTCCCTTGACAACGGTGCACATCTGGAGCCTTCCAGATTTATGCTGCATATTTATACACATTCCTAAGACCATTTCAAAGAAGTCTTGGTGGTGCAATGGTTAAATGCTTGACTTTAAACTAGAAAGTTAGTGGTTCAATTTGCTCTGGGGAAAAGTATTTGTCTGCTTCCATCAATAACTGAAGTCAAAGAAACGTTACGGGGGGGGGGGGGGGCTGGGCGGGGAGAGAAGTGCAGCAATGAATGAATGGAAATCCAAAATCTTTGTAAATGTTCATTAAAATTATTTTGTAAAAAGAAACATTATGGGATATTTTTACTCTGTCATTTTATTTTAGTTGAATAAAGTATTCCAAAACCAAATCCACTGCTGGTGAGTCAATTGAATGGCACGATAGGTTTTCTGAGGCTGTAATCTTTATAGAAAATGAATGCCACACCTTTCTGCTGTGAAGCAGCTACTGGGTTTAAACTAGTCACCATTTACTTAGCCAATCAAACACATAACAACTACATTACCAGGGCTCCATACTCAAGCACTGGGGAATAAATGGTCATCTTCCTCATCTTTAACTGGCCTGGTTTATCAGCCATTTGATTGAGCATTCTTCTTCAGGCTCTTAAAAAGGGAACAAGAATTGTTTCGATGGGGGACAGAGAATCTCTCATGACTTCTCTTAACTTTGGTTGCAAGGCCTGGCCATCTGCTTAGGATGGGAGCGGCCAAGGATGAGATGCTAGAGAAAGCTTCAGGATCAAGTGTTGACTGCCACTGGGTCCCACTTACAATCCTTTATTAGTAACCAGGAAGCATTTAAAGTTGTTAACCTACAACCAGAATAGGATAAAATAGATAAATAGATGAATGGGATCTTCTAAGAATTAAAGCCCTATGCACATCCAAAAACTTCAACAGGATAAAAAGGAAAACCACAGACTGGGAAAGAATATTTGGTAATGACATGTCTGGTAAGGGATTTATATCTAGAATTTATAGGATACTCAAGAACCACAACAAGATAAAGGTAAACAACCCAATGGGCACAGGATATGAAAAGACACTTCACCGAAGACATTCAGATGGCTAACAAGCACATGAAGAAATGTTCAAAATCCCTAGCTCTAAGAGAGATGCAAATCAAAACAATTATGAGTTATCATCTCACCTCAGTAAGAATTGCAAAATTTAACAGAACAGCAGACAAAAAATGCTGGCGAAGTTGCGGAGAAACTAGAACCCTTATTCAGTGTGGGTGAGCGTGTAAAATGGTGCAACCACTATGGAGGGCAGTCCGGTGCTTTCTCAAAAAGTTGCAAATAGAAATACCATTTGACCCTGCATTTCCACTCCTGAGAATAAACCCTAAAGAAACTACAACTGCCACCCAAGGAGATATATGCATACCCATGTTTACTGTTACACTGTTCACAATAGCAAAGAGATGGAAATAACCGAAGTGCAAATCACAAATGAATGGATAGAGAAGGTGTGATTTATTCATACAATGGAATACTATGCAGCACTGAAAAACAAGGAACACATGAAATATTATACAAAATGGATGACCCTGGAGGAGAACATTATGCTGAATGAGATTATCTCAGTTACAAAAGGAAAAATACTGCATAGTGCCACTGTTGTAAAACGGGACTGACATTGAGGTTGGGGGGAAACTAAGAAAAGAGGGGATAAATAATGTACATTGCATTGAAACAAATGAGAGAAAGAACTACTGAAAAGGGATATATGATTAGGTGGTATCTTCACAACAAGAGTCCAGAATAAGAGCTGCATAGTAAAGTGGACTAGGGTGGGGGGTGAGAAATTCTACAACAATGAAAGAATGTTCGGAAGGAAAAAACAGACATTTGGGATAGTTTTCAGTTATAATCTATTAAAAACAAACCATAATAAAATAAATTACAAACTATTAAAACTATTACTGGTTACATGGAAATGTGTGTGGGGTTTTTTTGCTTTTTTTATCATCAGTTCCTTTTTTGAGGATTTGAGAGCTTTTGGTATCATTGTTATTAAATTTATTTTTCTAAAAATATACATAACAAGGCATACCATTTAATAACAGTTTTTGCATGTACAACACTGCCATTGATAATATTATTTTTGGCTTTTATTTTTTTCATTTTCATAGCTCAAATTTACATCCCTATGTATTTCTTTTTTTTAAACTATGATTTCAGTTAAAATTTACAAAGCATACTTTTAAATTGCATAACATTAAATACAATACACACAAAAATTTTTTTAAAAAGTTGTTAGAGCTCAAAGTGTCATCTAAACAAAACAAAATTATGCTACTGTGGTTTTTCTCATTAATTTTTTGCATTGTGATAGAGGGAAAGGTATGCTCATACGGCTTTGAAACTCCTTGATCAAGAGATTAATTCCTACCTATGGCAATAAACTTTCCTCTGAGTATGCACTGTTGTCAGTGTAGAAATTTTATAATTTTTTTAAAGTGAAGCTAACAATTAGCCAATTGTTAGAGTCAGAAAACCAAACCAGTACAAAAGAGAGTAAGACGAACCGAATATGTTGGATGATCTCATTTGAGCTGCTCGATTCAGCCATGCCTGCATTTAGCATATTAAACATATTTTCCTTTTTAAAAATTTATACTGGTTTTAAAAGTTCATGAAGTTTGTATATATTGTTTTCGACACCAGATCTTTTCCCTTTCCTTTACCCTCCCCTCCCTCCACCTATCAAGTTGTGTGACCCTATGCTTACCTCCCTCCTCTTGGGATCCTCATACTCGTTCTACAATAATGATCTTATCCAGGATTTGTCCTTATGAGACTGAGTTAGTTCACTTTGCATAATTCTCTCCAGTCCTTCCCATGTTAGGTTGTTGTTGTTGTTGTTATGTGCCGTCGAGTCGTTTGCGACTCATAGCGACCGTATGCACAACAGCCCTAAACCCTGCTCTATTCTGCGCCAAACGCACCGCCTCTGACACACCCATCCCGATTACCCCAGTCACAGAGTCAATCCATCTCATAGAGGGTCTT